GAGTTATACTACTAGAGTAGTAAATGTAACTTTGGGTTAAGTAGTAGGTCGATAATATGTATAAGTGTTATTGTTTCGGGTTATGCTGCGTCTTTAATAAAGGTTGTGATAACTAATAAGATAGAAACATTTTAATTACTATTCAAAATGTAATAAAGAATAAAAAATAGCTTCGTTAATAATTTATTCGCATGAATTTTTTAATCAATTTACGCTATTTATAAAGGGTGACAAATTCTTTTTGCATGCATTTATTAGTTGTATGCTTTTTTGTGAAGTTCTTTTCGTTTTCCAGTAGTATTAAATGATGAATCTTTTTAAAAATTAACCATCTAACACTTCGCCTTAGAATGTCCCGTTAGCAAACAAGTCTGGGAACAAGGCTATCAGATGATAAACAACATCCCGAACTTAACAATACCCACCTCTCTTGAGGACATCATTTTTCCTCCACAAACGGTCCCACCAGAAGCACAAAGAGCAGTCAAATGGCTGCACACTAACTTAGTGTACGAAATCTGGTGTTTATACACCTCATCTAAATGTGGTGGCAACACATTTAGTGCCCTCACCATTCCAACCATCATAAAACATCATTTGAACAATGAATTAAATTTCCTCAAACGACTCACACGCCCTTTAATTAAGGGCTTCCAATCGCCCACAAAATTTCTTAAAAGAATTGTAAATAATAATTTGTAAATAAAGCGCCATTTGCGTAAATTCAAAAAATATATATATATATATTCATCTTGATTGGATCTTCCCCAGCATCGCCACCAAAATTTTTTCGATCACGTGATAGCGCCAAAATTCTTTAGAGTTCGTTTATGTTAGGATTAGAGTCAGAATTAGGGTTAGAAAGGTCTAGCATATTGTAAAACTATCCAAGGAATTTTTTTTGTTAGAGCATGAAAAGCGGTTTCTTAGGCAAAATTTTGAGTAAAGAGAGATTTTTTGAAAACGAACGTTTTGTTTTGATCTTCACGTTACACCAAGGCGTGATTTGTTATTGGATAATTTCACGTGATCGAAAAAATTTTATTAGTATTTTGGTGGCGATCCTGGGGAAGTTCTTGATTGGCGGGAATTCACTGGTAGATTTCATAGGAGGAAGATCGTCTGATTGGCTAATTTTTATAGATCTACCCGTGATCACCCGTGATAATTAGCCAATCAAATTATTTAATTTTAAAAAATTCATCACTTTAATAATACTAGAAAACGAAAGAAACTTCGTACAAAGAAGTTACAAATTAAACAAATATACAAAAGAATCAATT